TCCACAGAGTCCCAACGTTTGCTTAATCTGAAGTACGATACAGCCATGATAGAACGCAATAATCTATCTCAGTCCAGCCATGTGCGCACCATTTCGAAGCCAGGTGCGAAGAAAGCGATCGGTGCATATTAGTAGGCCACCTACGCCCCGCTGGCAGTGCAATGAATGACACGTCGTCCGTTTATGCCACTTCAAGAAGCATCAGTGTCAGAAGTGTCACATAAAACGACACAAAGAAGAGTGTCACCGCACAACCTTCTCTCAACATGTAACAAATCATTCAAACGAACAGTGCGTCCTCCAAAGCCACACACCAAACCAATACTAGCCACTATCAACCCGGATAGGAAACGTCAGAGGAAATTTGTGTCAGCTGTCCTAAATAACACCAGTGTGTCTGCAACTCGATACCGCCCCCGACATCACAATCATTTCAAAAGTTACCTGGAAAATAATGGGTGACTTCCTTTCGACCCCAGAAATCGTGTTGCTCTGAACGCTTCTTGTTCTGAGCTGTGCAACAATATTCTTTTCACTGGAATGTTACCTGACCAATGTACTACGTATGGACCTGGTTGACCTGGACTGGGTCGACAGACTGAAGCTGATGGAAATTCCCTCGAACACTGTATGCAACCTTGTAAAATCGGATGTCTCTCAAACCTCAATATGGACAGAACACCTTTTGTAAACTTATTCGGCTGTTTTCAACGATACCCTCGGAAAGTGCTCAAAGACGAAGGCCGTTCTGTTTCTACGTCAGAATACAAAACCTGTGTCCCGCCCAAAGAAGCCTGTTCCATATGCTGTCTTGCCTGTAGTTGATCAAGAGCTACAGAGACTGCGAAACGAGAGAGTCATTCAGCCTATCATTTAGAATCGTCAGCACCGATTGTGGTAGTCAGAAAGCCTGATGACAAAGTTAGGATATGTGCAGACTTTTCAACTAGTCTCAACGCGACACTAAAGGATCATTAATATCCACTGCCGTTTCCAGATGAATTGTTTTCCAAGCTGAACGGTTGGAAATGTTTCGCCAAATTGGATCTATCTGATGTTTATTTGCAGGCTGAATTGTCAGACGAGGGTAAGCACCCACTCACAATCAATACACATCGTGAACTTTTCCAATCCAACCGACTACCATTCAGTGTTGAGTCCGCACCGGCAATATTCCAGCAGCTAATGGACACCATGCTACAAGGACTATCATTCGCTGTTGCTTAATCGGACGATATTGCCATCATCGACTCTGACCCAGAAAATCTCCATAAACGTCTCGGTCAAGTACTGGACCGAATCCATGACTGTGGACTCGACCTCAGAAGTGGAAAGTGTCAATTTTTCATGGATTCCATCAAATATCTGGGCTTGCTAATCGATCGTCATGGCCAAAGCCCGGACCCGGAAAATATAGATGCCATCAAAGTACTGCCTCCACCCAAGGATTTACCTACATTGAGGTCATTCCTGGGACTCATCAGTCATTATAGTGCGTTTGTGCCAGCAATGCATGATATGCGTGGTCCACTGAACCGTCTGCTACTCAGACACTTAATGAGATTGGGACGGTTTTCAGAAATCAAGGCTATGCTTACTCCCGACCTACTTTTGACACATTATGACCCCTTCCGTGATATCACTTGTGACCAATGAATCCAGCCACGGCGTGGGAGCAGTCATTTCACATACGTTTGAAGATGGCTCGGAAAAAGCCATAGCCCATGCCGCTCTATCTTTGACAGCTGCAGAACGAAGTTACAGTCAGATCGAAAAAGAAGCCCTGGCGATTGTTTTTGCTGTGAAAACGTTCCACAAGCTGCTTTGTGGCCGCAAATTCACTTTAATTACTGACCACAAACCATTATTAACCGTGTTCGGAACCAAGGAAGGCATCCCTATTTATTCTGCTAATCCACTTCAAAGATGGGCTACAATGTTACTCGGTTACAACTTTAGGATCAAGTTTAGATCTGGTGACAAGATCGGTCAGGCGGATGCATTATCAAGACCTCTAGAAAATATACCGGACTCGGAAGAATTAGTTATAGTTCACATCTCAGCTGAACCGGAAATACGATGTATACTAATGGAAGCCATCAAAGGTACTCCAATCACAGTGATACGCAAGACAACCATACAGGATCCGCTGCTGAGTCAAGTAAAGGAGTATCACCTCTCCAAGTGACCGCAAAACATTAAAATCACAGACTTGCTTCGGTTTTATCACAGACGATCGTCCCTTTCCGTTGTTGATGATTGCTTCTTGTTCGCAGAACGTATGTCGTACCAGAGGAGCTGCAAAGGCTTGTTTTGCAAGTTTCGTAAAGGAAATCCTGGGATCAATCGGATGAAATGATTGATCCGAAGCTATGTTTATCGACATATTGACAGTCAAGTCGAAACGCTCGTCAAATCTTGCCACCAATGTGCGTTGACTTCAAAGTCCTCTAGAAAATGTGAACTCCATTCTTCGTCGGCACCACAAAATGCATAGTCAAGGATACATGTGGACTATGCAGTTCCCTTAAACGGTCAAATTTTTCTCATTATCATGGACGCTTACAGCAATTGGCCAGAGATTTTTTCCCCATGTAGACAACAACGACGACAGAAACCATTAACAAGTCGCAGGAGGTCTTTAGTCGTTTCGGCTATCCTGAAATGCTCGTATCTGACAACGGGACACGTCGTCCCAGTTCGCGGACTTCTGTCTTGCCAGTGGGATTGAACACGTTAGAATGCCCCCATATCACCCACAATCAAGCGGCATAGCACAACGACTCGCGGATACTTTCAAAAGAGCTTTGCTTAAGGCGGATGCGGAAGGAACCACGGCAAACATCCTACAACAATTCCTCTTAATGTGCCGCCTGACTCCAAATCTGTCCACACCGGAGGGCAAATCGCCTGCAGAGACACTGCTCTACTGCATTCCTCGAAGCACTCTTGATCTTCTGAAGCCTTCAAAGGAGGTGTCATTATGAAGTCAGAAAATTCAGTCCTACTATAATCGCAAGCATGGTGCAAAATGGTGACATTTTGACATCGTACATAGTCTTAGTAAAGGACTGTCGTAGTAATCGCGCATCCTGGTGTCAAGGCAAAATCATTCGGCGAATCGGGAATGTCATCTATGGTGTTCGCATGGGTTCCGAAACGTGGGTTCGTTATGCAGATCAGTTAAATGAAGCTTATTTACAACCAACCCAGAGATTGAGTGCGTTGCCTCTGAACATTTTGATAGAACACCTGGACAAGAACAGAGAAAAGACAACCGACACTCAGGTTGCGAAGCAGCTGCCAGAAGCGCCTTTGTATCAACAATCACGAAGGACGACAGGCAGAAGAATGCCGGTGACAATGACTCGAATTAATTCGAGACAGAAGACTTATACTACTCAACTTTGTCACTAAACTGATTGTAGTAAATACTACTGGTTTGGTGCTGGAGACAACATTCCTTCCCGAAGTTTCCAAAGTCCGTGTTCACAAATTGGGACCTCGCTATCCGTAAACAAATTTGCTAGAAATCTCATATTGTGTAAAATGGAATCCAACGCGGTTCATCGCTGATATGGCCGTAGTGCTAGTCAGTTGATCAACTTTAGTTCTTACAGTAGTCAGACACAACGAAATCATCCTGCTCCGACCGAAAGGTGTCACTTTTTCGTTGTGGTTGGGCTTTGTGTTTCAATGATCCTGCAGGCTATACTGCCCGGAACTCAGTTCCACAAGGTGCAAACATGCCAGGAAAGCGAATTTGGAGCAGTCAGACCAAGAACAGCGAGTTCCCGTACTACGAGTAATTGTGCTACTAGTCAATCTGGAAGTACAGTCGTACTGTCTTCTTCAATAGGAGTATGAAGGCAGTGAGGTGTTTCCCTCAGGCGACCAGTATGTCCATATTGATGGACGCAGCGATGCTGCTTTAACTTGAGGAAGGACGGGTTAGAAAAGTTCGACCGTAAAATCCGCACACTCCGACCGCCCAACGGTTGACCGTGACTGCTGGTGCATTATTCAATACGGTCAAAATATTTTTAAAATCAAAAGGCCCGGTGCCGCTCCAAAGGTACCTGCTGTGCGCAGCCTCATCAGGAGTAAGATATTTTTCCCAGTTTGTTAAATCATATTTGGTCAGCTCTGTGCAGGATGACTAGGCTTGCTCCCGAGGATTTTTTCGTTAAATATAGTCTGAAGGACAAAGAACAGTTTTATCGTAGCATTTTTCCATCTACCCTAGGGTACTAGGCTACTACAGTTTGGAGTGGATGTACTTGCAATCAAAGACTGCAACTGTTCGATAACCCACAAGAAAAACCCGATTTATCTTTTACCCGAAACCTGAGTAAACTCCAATGGGATTAAACAAGAAAGACTAATCAATACGAACTAATCCAATTTCGTTAAAAATCAGTGAAATACGAGTCCTAGACAATAGGAAGATAAGAAGCACTAATGGACAACGAAATTTCGGTTCAACCATGGCAGTGAATGATCAGATGATCTCTATTTTTTTCACATTCCCGACTGCTTTTCCATAGTTTCAGACGAACTATCCGAAACGCACGGATTCGTAATACATGTTTCTGCCGATGGATGTGATTCTGATAGAGCAGCTCTTAAAAAGCTCCGAAAAAGCTCTTGAAAAATTTCCTTGTAAAGAGACTATATCCATCCGTACAAACAACGCTCTATTCGTTTTTCTTCAACAAAAGATTGGAAAAGCAAAATTTTGAGGAACAAAGCAAAATAAGTGATAATTTCGTAAAAAGCGGCATCCTCGGTGGGAGATTCAGTTGAGTTTCCCTTTAACATCAACATAAGTTTGCTTTTTATTTGGACACTTACTACTACTGGTTTTATTCTATGGCCATTATCTCCTTTAGACGTCTGTTTGTGTCCCTTCTGTCGTTGCTTGCAGTGGTTAAAGCAGAGTCCAAGGGATGTTTGATGAACTTATGTATTAATTCTCTCTTGTTCGCAATTTCACCAAGGAATCCATTTTAATCGTCAAAATGCGCAAAGGTCAGCGTCTTAAGCTGCGTGCGATTGCCAAGAAGGGGTTTGGCAAGGAACATGCTAAATGGAATCCGACAGCTGGCGTTGGTTTTGAATATGATCCAGACAACGCTTTACGACACACTTTCCTGCAGAAACCGGAAGAATGGCCTCGGTCCGAATACAGCACCCTGCCGGAAGATGAGCATCAAGCTCCGTATGATCCACATGGCAAAGTTAGTCATTATGGAGTGTATTTTGTTTCGCTGCATTAGGCCTATGCCATCGGTTAATTTCATACTTTCCTAAGCCAGCATATTCGTAGTACGATAACACTAATTTTACCCTTTGCGTCGCCGAACTACGCTCTGGAAGTGTCTTTAGGTAGTGTAGCGCAACTGAAATGCCTATTCGTCGAGTCGCACCCCGAGAGTTTCGAACCTTTCATGATAATTAAACCGGTAGCTTGGATCACCCATTGATGCGCCTGTCGACAAAAAACAATAGTTGTTATTGGTAGTCTGAGGAAGCACTTTGCTTCTCGGCTTTTCAGCATAGATTGGCTTCACTTACAGGACGAAATCTCCACAATAGTTGTTAATAGCAACCGAGCGTTACTCTCCTCAGGAAACAGTCTTCGAAGTGACAGTTTGATAGGTACGGAAGTTTCACACTGTGATTTCTCTTGCGGAAACACCCGTCCCCCCAGAACCGATTGATTCATTCCCGAGAAAGGAATATCACAGGGAAAACGTCCTATGGCATTAATCCGCATTTTTACTTGGCTTTCACAAGTAGTACTAACACAGTATTGCCGTGACAAGCCCTTTTTGACGAGACCTAACTCAGGCAGGAGGTTAATTATATCAGAATACGCGCACAGCAACATTCGTTGGAACATGTCACATTTGGGCTCCATTCCAAAGAGTAATGACGCTTGAAGGTGAGGTGGAACAAAGCGCAGTAGCTCGGTGTTCAGTGAGATCCCAACGTGTCCAGTTATCCTGCTTGTTACTAAACTACATTTTTGTGTTTCCTTTTGGAACTTAGCTAGGTGGTACGAAATTCAGTCGGCCATAACGACAAATTTGCTTAACACTAACTAGGTACATAACTTTGTATTGGATTATATTAGGCACGGATATCTATAGTAATTGATCCAATCTTGAACAATGGTTTCTGACGAGGCGAAACTATATCGCGTCATTACAAAACCAGTTTTGAGTAACAGTGTTGAGTGTAAACGGGTAGCTTTGGTGGAGTTTTATCTTTGCGATAATCCAGTGGGTCAATACATTTCGCTTCGCGCATCTCTCTCATCACATTAGCATAGTTCACTGCCTACAATTTTTGTTGGCTTCAAAGAAACTACTTTCGATCACTCACAAGTAGTAACCGGTCTTATCCTTGGTTATTACCATATATATGTAAGCAGTCCAGAATGAAAACAAGCTTTTGTACGGACAAAATATCTGGAAAAGAACTACCGTCGGGAAGATTTGTGATGTACCAGGAAGCGCGAGAAACGTATTTGATAAGATACGACGTATGCTATTTTCAGTCCCATTTATTTGTTTCTTAATTTTAATCCGCACCTCACTACCTACTGTGCCTTCTGATACGAAATGCATGTAACGCACCAAAATTCCAAATCCTTCGAATTCACAAAGCGATTTTCCACTAAAGCGGGTAACTCACGAATAAAGCGGATCACAAATGATATAGCAGCTTGGATACCCATTCGGTTTACGGCTGACGATGCTGATGAGACTCAACCCAATTCACGGTTCCATGTGCAGTTTGACAGATACGACTTTTGCAGCCACTTAGCTTCGTTAACGACAAGAGCCATTTGAAACTTGTTAGCATCATTCGTATGAATACATGCATATCATAGAACAGGAATCACATAGCATCTTATTTTCTCGCGTGGTGATCCCATAAATAACGGGTGTATTAGGGTAGAAATGTACAGTCGGGTGACCCATCAATAGGATGAGTAAGGCGGCTTACCTACACCAATTTACTAGGAACTGCTTTCATGGCACATAAAATATAACCGTTGGAAAGATTATCCAACGGCAAACTATTAAAGACGAAAATCTAGTATGTAAACTGCCGGTCAGACTGAAATTCCACCGCATAACGAGCAGACTAGACAAACTATCGAGCTGCATACCCTCATCTGATTTTAGGCTTGACCCGAATGTGTGCGCTCGTTTACCAGGTCTCCTTCCCTCAGCATTTGACCGACAGTAGACCGGTGTGCCAAATTTAGTATTTTAAGAGATTAATGTTTAGCACCATACCGTATGTGGAATCCTGGTAACCACTGGAGAAATCTGAGGTTGGCAAATCAAACACTTCTAGCGGAAGATGATGTTATAAAACAGAGGAACAACAGACTGATTCCAATACGATTGATGATACCGCTTGTTCTCTGTTCTAATTAGTAAGCTTTCGCGAAATAACTGGTCGTTCTCACCCCAAATTGCATCAATTTTAATTCCTAATTCTGATAAAGATTGCAAACGCGCTTAAACGGAGTGAATCCTGTAAAATGTAAACAGGAGTGATGGATTTCCTGAAAATCTAAACTCTTGGCGCGATGACCATTTAGTTGCAACATGAAACTAGGGCCTTGATTGCTCTCCCCGTACAAGGACCTGAATTAGGAGAGCCCATTTTGACCAGGTCTTGTGAGCAATCCCTAGTGAGGGGTCGTCGCGTTTTTGATACGTGAAGAATGATGTTGCGTAATGGTGTTAGTTGTTATCCTAATTAGAACGATCTTCTAACAGGCCAATATTTGAAACATATTCAGGCCTGCGGCGCAATTTTGTGTTGCCCACTTTGTCTCTTCTTCTCTGACTGCAACTAGCTTTATCCACAGAATGCATACTGAGCAGCATACCATAGTTGATCGATTAATATATATGTGAGCTCAATCCTTTTCGTTTCCAACCCGACTTCCCGAGGGACGTGCCTATCCCACGTCTGGAAAATGCACTTTTCAATAGGTGTCTTCCCTTCTCCTCTTCACTATGATTTGTTCTTTATTTACTCGTCATGAACGTCCTCGTAGTGCGCAAAGCCATGACTCAGCATGCTGTCGGAAGGATTAATCTCGACCGTATGTTAATCGACTTGATATTCGAGGGCATGATCCATTTTCCTGGCACCACATGTGCCTCAACGTTTGATGGCTATGCACAGTGAATAAAGCAAGGGAGAGAATTTCCTAGGATGCTTTGACATTTTTCACGTAGCCACTTACTTTGGTAACTGCAGTCGGATAGCTCTCAAATCAGTCGGAGCCCCACAGCAGTTACCCAGAACTTTTCGTTTTTTTCAGTTAACAACGGTAATAAGTTTAAAATGAAAGCCCTCTTTCGTAATATGCTTTTAAAATTATAAACCAGCACCTAATACACAGATTTTTGGTTTATATTTGTTGGCTCACATGGTCGCGGTTTTCTTTTACACACATACCCTCCGTTTTTATAGCCTAATCGCTTTTTCTTCAATGTGGAATCCTGTGGTTCGCTACAGCCGAAAAATATTGTGTTCTCCGGTCTGGATGTGCTGAAAAAGAAACTTCAGAACTTACTGGATAATTTGACACAGGAATCATTTTGATGCATTCGTTTATGTACGTTTGTGTACGCTTTTATGTACGGAAACAATAAATCCGATCAAGCGCACCGCCATTGGTCATTCTTTTTGCACCGAATCGATGCTGCTCTTAAAGAACAATTTTTTCAGACGGTCAGCAGTTGGAGGTTAGTGTTTGAAGCGTGCCTTTGTTTACTTCTGTTTTTCAAGATAAGGGATGGTTTGCCTTTTGACGTATCTGTGAGGGGAACTTTCAGAGAAGTTGCAGGCTGAGTCCGCTACCTTCATAATCACTTTGTCATCTTTTTAAAACAACAGCTAAGGTCATCTTTAAACTTTCGTCTTTGAAAGAAGGAATACCTCCATGGTAATTGGCGCCATATGCTAACGAAATCGACAAAAGCAAACAGTTGACATTTAAAGTCGTCATATTCTTATCTACAATTGCAGGGAAAATTAACCAGTCACTCCTATTTCCGTTCCACTTGTGACTAGGCTTGTTTTTCATTTCAGTCAACCATTCCGCAGATTTAAAAAAAACTATGCGAACCAGACAATTCTGGATGATTTTTGGACCTGCCGTGTATCTCCTTCCATTAGGTCGAAAGTTAAATTTTCTGTCGTTTGACCCACTCACAATAAAGACCTTGTTTAGCTCTTGATTGGGTTTTATTTATTTAACCCTTTTCTAAATATCATGTCACTTAAACTGTCAATGAATCTTTGGGACAGAGGTGCTTTTATGAAATGGAGTAGATTATAACGCCACGAAACGTCTCTGCACTAAATACATAGAATGCGCCAAAAATACCCCATAAACAGTACGTGTTTATGCTGTGGAGTCCAACGGATCTGTCTGGTGATTTGGTGTAAAAAGTGGTTTGTGTCAAGGAGTTTCCGTGTTAAGTCGTCACACCACCCTAGTCAGAAATTTCTGTTCGATTAAAAAAAACCTTCATGAACGTAAATATTTTCCCGTTTTCCCTCAGAATGGTCAACTCATTCCAAACAGATACACCAAACAGATCGCGCCCACTCAGCACACGGCTGAGCGAATGATCTCTGTGACGTAGGCCCGATTCGGCCGGTATTCTGTTTTTGTTCCAGATCTTCTGCAGTATGGTCGTCAGACTGTATATCACGGCTCCACCACCTACTTTGAAAAATTATATCATGCTACATGGGAGATCGCGTGGTGTCACTAGCCTGGTCGCCTTAAGTTCTGCACACAACTGGGTGAGTAAACGAAAACATGCTACTACTGACGTTTCTCTTCTTACACTTTCGCGTATTCCCTTTTCTACCCTACCCCACCCCACCCCAAATTGAATGCCCTCTCTGCAGGTCCCAGCTCTGGGTCTCACCGCTTTGTTCGTCGTGCAACACACTCAGCTTCAGCTTTCAAACTCCGAAAACCGACCTTCTTAGCTTCCCTTAATGATCGCATACTGAAGCAAACAGGACAACAAATGGCTGCTGCTCATCCGTTTGAGTCCCTCCACGTTGATATATACTGTGTGTCTGATATCAAAATACAAGGCGCAGTTACTGTAATTGAACTAACTGTGCCGCGCTCTCTTTCAGGTTCCGGCTTTGCACTTCTGCTGATGCGGAGCCCCCTGCACCTAGATATGACGAGGTAGGTATGGTGTCGAGTGCCCTACAAGCTCAGGCCTCCTTTGGTTGCTGGTGACATGAATGTTGAGTTGGACCGACTAACCGTTGGGTGATAGTCTTGGATTGGACACGAGATGCGCGAAAACAAAAAGATCCTGCTTCCCATGTGCGCCGATTACAGACTTCCTTTGCAGTACCAATTTCCGGAACAGTGGAAATCACTTGACTCATCAACGAACCAGCGCCTAATCCAGATAGACCACATCACCGTAAGTTACCGGTCATCGGGATCGATCATTGCCTGCTGCTCATTCTGGAATCTCAGCGTGGACTCTGACCATGCAATTGTTCGTCGTTGTTTTTCATTGCACTTTTCAGGTCTACGCGAAACCCGCACACCTCGCTTAGTCACTGAGAAGTCGTTGGACCTAGAAATCAAACGAAATTATCAGAACCGGCTCATCTAGCACCGCCCGACAGTTCGATATCGGATATTCTCAGCTCTTGGAATCGGATGTCCAACAGCGCTACGGAATACCGAACTTATGTGTGCGGTACAACCCAGTCAACCTCATCCGATCACTGGATTTCTGATAGGGCCATGGCTTTGCTGGAGGCCTGGCAACAGATACCATAGGTCGAGACCACAACTCAACTCGACGCATGATGATGCGACGCCAAGAAGCTTGGTGAGCTGGAGAGGCCAAAGGAATTGAAGAAGGGAAAATGCTGAAAAATATCCGCTTGATATCCACTTGATTCATCCGACTGGTCCTTAGAACCCTCTTATCAAAGAAACTATCAGGGACCGAAATGGCTTTCTGATATCCAGTAAAGGGGATTCGTCGGGCTCACTACTTCGAACAACAGTTCGCTTGACAACCAACCGCATACACTCAGGACGGCCACCCTTCAACAGCCTAGTGGACTGTACATATTGAGTCTCCTTCAGCCTTAGAAGTGTCCGAGTGTATATATCTACTCAAGCGTCATCGCGCTCCTCGTTCTAATGAGTTTACAAGGTTGGTTGTGAACTGCTCAGTCTGTGTTTGTCTAGTCCATTATTGTCTTCCAGAGCCCGTAGTATCCATTTCCAAAAAGGGCTTTCGAGGTGAATGTAGTAACAGTGAGCATCAAGCGGGATTTTGACCTGGTACTGTTTTGACCACATATTCACAGCACCTTTGAGCAACCAGCGCACTTCAGTGTGCAGCAAGGGGTTAACTTGAAGTTCATAATTTCGTTAACACGGTTGACTAAATAAGTGGCCGATTTCAACGCTGGCCTTGACTGAATTCACAGAATTAGTGACAATCTGCACGGGTGCACTCAGCTACCGACTCAAACGCTTGTTGACGAAATGTATGTGAGTTAGTTAGGACTACCCAGAATTTCGCTCCCTAACTACGTCGAGCCTTACAACCTACGAAGCGTAGTAGCCCCCTCTATTTAATGGGTGCCAATTTTACCACAATAAGGAGTTCGCCTTCGTTCAGTGAACGGTTTTGTGAAGCCGAACATAGATTCTTCTCTCGTGTCCATGCTTAGCTTCTGTCAGCTGTAGTCGTTCTCTAAATGTCATGAAAGCAAGAAAACTAGGGTTGCCTGGTGGATTTGACCCATTCGACTGCATGCAGAACCTCCTCTCTTGCAATCATCTTTAGACAAGATGCGGATCAATATTTCCGTTTGTTCCATCAATTCCCCTTTGACCATAGGTGTCCCTCGGAGGCAGCCCTATTGAAGTATCTTCGGGAGCTTAATGCATCTGTAGAGACCACGTTTTGTAGTCGTACTTCACCGGCGGTATATCTTTTCAGCTTTGACAGAGACTTGAGCTATCAAACAGGAAACAACGGGGCCACCTTCTGCTTGTTTGTTAAGTCTAGTTAACACTTTTCAAGTTGTGCAACGGTTTTTTTAGTTGCTGACGATGGCTTTTATCGAAGCCAGTTCGCTTGTAGCTTTTTACGGATTGCTTGGAAAATGAGGGCGCGAAGGTATGTATGAGCGAAAAAAAGAAAGAGTACCTTGGAGCTCTTGAAGGCACTTTCACTTGCGGTGACAAATTAAATTTGTTCGAACGGAGGGACAAGAAATCGATCAGTTTGGTGAATAGGAGATAGTGTCAGAGATAGGAAGACGTAAGGGGACAATTAAGCTGCGTCCGACCAGCCTTAATAAAGACTTTTTTCGTAGTACCTAAAGCATGCACACGGTCTGCTTGAATCCAAAATGGAGCAGATCTCCGATTTAGAAACACGGAGGGTTGCACTTCTGCAAAAGCGTGAAGGTAGACAAAAAGGGATCACTGGAGATGTGTACGAAAGAACAAGACACTTCATTGACCTTGTGAAACTGGGAACAAGCACCTTAACCGAACAGTTTTCCAGGAAGTCATCAACCTAATTCCCCAAGTCAGTACGCACTTTGTTAGGTTGGCAATCAGATCATCGTATCACATTTGGTCGGGGAGATTCCAGACATCACTGAACGAATCCATAGCCCAATATCATACATATGATACGTACACTAATGGTCACCAGAAAAGCATTGGCACCTAAACTCATATCAGTGATCTTATGTGATGGTTGCTTTCCAGATAACGTATCAGTTGTTTCGCCAAGATTGAATCCAAAATTATGGATAAATTAAGGGTGATGGAGACAGGGGTGGTTGCTTGGATCAGATAAAAAGGTGCACTTATAGTTAGGTGTCTGGAAGTTTTCCGGGAAAAGAGAACTGTAACGGAAGGGGGAGAAAGATGGAAGAGATTAAAGCGAGTCCTGGAGAACAGACAACAAACAAAATGGGGACGAAAAATCCCAGTTTAAATACCGAGCAATGGAAAATACTTTGGAGCTGCTGAATGGACTGTGAAGAAAGTTTGATATTCTCTTCTGGGAGCAAATACAGTGGTCCAGTGACGTGAAGAATTGATCATAAACGAGCGAAGAAATTCTGACTGACTGCTTCTGAGAGAATCCGGTAATGTCCACTTTAGGTATCTGTATTGGATGTTGTCCAGTCTTTCGAGAGATCAACATGTCCTTAACTGTTTGGACGATATGAATTGCGCGCTGTGAAGGAGAGATTTCGGAACGCCGGCGAATACATGTTGGTCTCATGGTTTTAAAGGTCGTTCGCATGCCACCGATTTTCATTTACCTCCGTTAGGTCGGATCCAGCAGCTGGTTTATTCGGCCGCTCTTCGAATGTATCATGCCACTTACGAAGCTGTGTCCCATTTACTCTTTTCGATCCCTGACCACCTCAAAATGTATAGACGTGCGCTCGGCGGTCGGTAACGACAAACGGACATAGCCATCGACTTCCCAGCTTCCTCGACCCGGGACCACTCCTTCCAGGATTCTGATGATCTTGACCTTCGCGCCTATGGGGAATGTTCGTGCCTTCCTACTTGCCGTTTTCTCTCTAATCCTTTCCTGAACGGCGGTCAAGTTTTCTCGAGCTTTCTTT